TCCTAGGCATGCTTTTATTACTTGGTTAGCTTTGAACCAGAGGTTGAAGACTAGAGATAGATATAGGTCTTCCAATAGTGATACTAACAGACATTGTTCTCTATGCTCTATTGAAAACGAAAACCATAACCATCTTTTTTTCAAATGTCATTTCTCCAACAGCATATGGCAGTACTTCCAACACAAGTGTTAATTTCTAATTGGTTTTAGTTACTAATTTAATTGTTGCGTTGTGGAGTACAAGCTCCAAATCTGGCAAACAATGTGAGATATTAATATTTCTAATTAGCAAATTTTGGTGTCAAAATAAGTTCAATCGAGTTGTAAATTTTTTGTTTGATTTTCAAGATTTAAGATGGGATGCAGAATTGGAGATTGATTACACTCCGTGATGATAAAAATAAGGTAAGTGAGTGTGTGAGGACACTTGCATATTTTCGGATTTAGGCATTTTAGGAAAAAAAATTCCGAGCATAACTTGATTTTCCAAACTGCCTTTACGGAACAGGTTCCGTCACACAGAATAGGTTAAGCTGTTGAATCTTTTTAATGGTTTTAATTCAAAAACACTCTCTTTTTGGACAGAATTCTACACAAATTTGACTTGTTTTTCAAGTACATTTGGGCTTTCAGAAGTCTATAAATACGTGTTTTCTCACTTAGGGTTTTGCGGCTTTTGCATACAAAATTCTGATTTGTTTGAGAGCCAACTTTGAGAGATATTTTTAATTCATAAAATCTACTCAAATTTTTCAGATTTTATTTTTAAAGCATACACATAAACACAAGAGTGATTTTGGGTGTACGTTGTTCTCTATCTGAACGGAATTGGAGAATAATTGAAGATTTAAAGATTCTGAGAAATGTGATTTTATTCTATATTCATCAAATTTAAATTTGAAGAAGGGCGTTTCAATCACACTTTGAAAGGGTCAAATCATTCGTGAAGTGTTGTTGATCTTCCAGCAATCTTTCTATAAAGATCAAGAGTAAGCCTGCGGTCGAGAGTTATTGGACAGGGGAGTCGCAAAGCCAGGGATTGTTAGCAATTGGTTTTTAGTAGAACGATAGCGTGTGAGTCTAAGTCAAAGTGAGTTGCACTTTGCTTCAAATATAGTGGATCATTTCGCTTGGGGCTACAAAAATCTCCCTGGTTTTTATCCGGATTGGTGGGATTTCTTCCAACTAGGATTTTCATGCACAAAAACCCAGTGTCATCTCTCAAATTTTATTTACTTTACTTGCCTTTTTTTTGCTTTGTAAGTTGATAATTTGCTTTTATTTTGGTAAATTTAAATTAATTAAAAATTAAATAAATGACGAGTAAAACCTATTCACCTCTCTAGGTTATTTTTAATATAAACTTCCACATCCATTTCGCATAGCGCAACTCACAAACAATACATGTCTGACGAGTCTCTTCATAAAGTCATTTTCTAGAATATCTGGGCACAAAACTAGAGAAATTTTGGATATAAGCATTTGGTTTGCCTGACCATAGATTTCACAAGGGGTTTGTGTTATCGGCTGATCAAGCTGCATGATTTCCAAAACTGCAAAAAATATTGAACATCATTGCGACGAGGAAGAAGATGCGGCGTACAACTATACTGTTTATACTTAGGAAATCCTTTTGTATATGCAAAATCTTTGTGAATTAGGAGTCATATGCTAACTAACTGAGTAAATACAACGAAAATTGAAAATTTTATCAATTTCATTGTACAAGTTTTTTTCTGCTCTCTTGTTGGCAACTGATACTGGCCCTCCACCAATATCCTCTGAAGCTTCACTCTTCTTTCTTACAAAAAGTAAATTACCCAAAAGTCACTAGACTACACAATGGTTGATTCTAATATTTTCTATGTCATAATTGCCCTTATTTGATAAGGATAGGACTCTTGTAAAATGGGATAATTACACTTACCTCCCCTGAGGCTAGGCGTAATTATAGGCAGTACCCTCAACGTTTCAAAAATTACACCGTCCTCCCTCAAGGATTGCTCCGTCGTAACACTTAGCCCCTTCCGGTGATGGTCAATGCTGGTCAATAAAGATTTTTGATGATGTCAGCAAATTTTGAGCATGAAGTACCATATTTGCCCTTATTATAATTGCAAAGACATTTCTACCCTCGTACACTCTCAAATATCACATTTGATTCTTCTATGTATACATTTTCTCTCTCTAAAACTTATTATTACAGAGCCTCAAGGGTTCAAAGAACATGACCATGGAGACTAAGGAGCTTAGGAAGGCAGAGTGGTGGCGGCGATAGGGGGTAGTGGCGATCACTGGCATTGATGTCTTTGATTGAATGGCGTTAGCGATGGCTTAACGGAGGTACTGAGGCATACATAATAATCCTTCGTTGGAGTTCCTTCTTGAAATTAGAATTCCAGCGTGAACGCAACCCCTGATTGAGCCAATCATCGGCTACCTCACCGCCATATGCATTGAATCAGTACCTATGGACTCCAAAGGTGCAGAAAACATTCTCTCTCTCTCTGTGTGACCTTCCGAAGATCTGCTGACCCATCCATCTAGTCTTCGCCGGATCTGCCGAACTCAGTCTCGCCGTTGCCAGACATCACAGCCGTCTTCTTGTTCTAGCCGGTACCGCGAGCAGCCACGAATCGTCCCTCTTAATTTGTGAACCAACCGAACCCAATTCACAATCTAGTTGTCCGAGCACGCGAATGAAGCACCAAATCAAGCACACGCACACACATATACATCTGTAACGAAAAAAAAAAAATCCAATACAAATCAGTGGGTTTCACAACTCAAATCAGCGAATTTGATGCAACATCATAGAACCCTCATTTCAATAGCACAATTAGATCCATAAACAAAGGAGATATTGAACGAGGTAGGGGAGCCTATCATAGTAATGGTATAATGAAGTCTGTCTCACCAGCACTCCAACAATCACCACTGCTTCGATCGCTGCTCTCCGACGGCTCTGATTTCACCACCTTCGTCCTGGGTTGCTGCAGCTAATGATCATTCTCATCGGAATTGACGCCGCCGTCGCCGCCAACGAGCCGATTCTCTGTTTGATATGGGCCCAGATTGCAAGTCTCTACACTGGGTCGCTAGATGATGGATCTGATGTCGTTCACCTGTACATTAGAAATCGTTGTACGGCTTACGAAGCCCAGGACCCGAGCTATGGTGGTGGTTGTAGTGGAGTTAGGAATGGCGGAGGCGGTGGCTATAGCCGTTACGATAGTGGCTCTCCAGATTTAAGGCTCCAAACATGAAAAAATAAAATCCAAAAAAAAAAAAGTTGTTAGGGTAAAAGAGTAATTTAATAATCAATTATTAATATTAATATAATAATAGGGGTATATTAGTACATTTACATAGATTTCTAACACAACCTACTGGCGATCACATTGAAGGGAGGTAAGTGATATTTTTAAAACGTTAGGGGCATTGCTTGTAATTACTCCTAATCTCAAAAAAGGTAAGTGTAATTATCCCCGGGTAAAATTCACCCACTATTCTCTCTCACTCATGCATCCTTCTATTTGATCTTCTTTGCATCCCCGTGAAATTCAACTTTTTTTCTCTCTCTCAAATACACATCATGTATTTGATCTTCTTTTTGAATCATGCATATTTCATGATTCAAAACACCTTCATCATATTATCTTACAAACTTCATATGAATTCAATTAGACCCACGTCACATCCAACCAAAAAAAAAAATTAGAAAAAATGTTCCAGTTATTCAACTAAAAACAACCACAAAAATAAATTAGTAAAAATATTTCAGAAAGTCGTTCACTCAAAACAATCATAAAAACACTCTCCAACAAAGACTTATGTCTCCTCATGCCCCAAGACAAACTCAGATGCAATCCAAGACACCAATGTCATCATTTCATCAAATTAAGATAGGACAGTGACAAAGCAAAACTCTGGAATTGCAATGGAAGCAGGGGATTGAAACCTTTAAACATTTCTCTCCGCACAAATAACGTAAAACATGTATGTGGTTTGTTTTTGAAAATTTAAATAGTGGCTCAATCGCATTGGCGCCAGAATCGTATCCCAATTCGCACACTCAATTTCTTAAATCATCAACTTAAAAAAGCTTAGTAATACTGATGGATGTATAATTTAAATATCCATAATTAAGGGAAGATTACTAAATTAACGCACTATTGAGATAGGCTCTGCAGATTACGATAAGGATTACAGATTGAGATAGGCTTTACAGATTACGATAAGGATTAAAGAATGTGATAAGGATTAAAGATTACGATGAGGATTAAGTCTACAGATTACAATAAGGTAATTCTACGTGACATCTTAACCTAAGCCCTATAAAAAAGGCGGGGGAATCAACGTTTGGAGGTACGCAATAAACCCTAACTCAATTTCTCGATTTCTCCAGGAAGATTATCATTCACACTGACTTGTTCGTCGGAGCCTACTCCACCAGTAACACACTGGTGTTCGTAGGATCACTTTTTCTTCTCTTTATTCAGGAAGTCAGATCAGATCCAGGTTGCTTTGAATCCATCATCAACAGTTGGCGCCGTCTGTGGGAACGATTTTAGTTCTCTAAATAAAGTATGGTTCGATTGCGATCTGGTCTGGTTGCTGGCGAATACGAAGCGTTGCAAACTTCTGATCAAGGGGACTTGACGAGGCAACCCCCCCCCCCCCCCCCCGTCCCAAACGATCAGGAACGCGTCACAGCGTTGGAACAACAGGTTTAAACCCTAAATAAGGGAATGAACCAATTAGTCTAGAAAAATTCAATGATTCTACAACGCTTAGCCACCCTTAATGAGGTGGAGAATAATGAAGTACCCAAGAATGACTCCCGTAGGATTGACAACGACGCTGAGCTTAGTCAAATAGGGGGTCAACAGAGAAGCCATCACCATCGGTCTCTTGAACGGAATAATACCAGGCTCCGTGCAGGTACCTCTGGTTGTGTTGGTGACAAGACTGAAGACGTCACTTATTTCAATCTGTAGATGCAAGATCTGAGAACTAGGATCAAAGATGTCATGCAAGCAATGAAAGGGAAGGGCCAGGCCACAGTGAACGATTTGGTACAGAAGACCAACCTAGCATTTAGCCTCGCTGTTATGTTATGAGTTGTCCTCTACCTAGCAAATTTAATATGCCAACCCTTGAGAGCTTCGATGGGACGCGGGACCCTCTCGATCATTTGGAGACCTACAGCCAACTCTTGAGAGCTTCGATGGGACGCGGGACCCTCTCGATCATTTGGAGACCTACAAAGCTCTTATGTATTTGCAAGTCGTACCGGATGAGATTATGTGCAGGGCTTTCCCTACCACACTAAAGGATTGGGCTCGTCCTTGGTTCAATAAATTAAAGCCAGGCTCCATTGAAATCTTTAATGAGTTGAGCAAACAATTCATTGGACACTTCATCGCTGGGCAGAGGCATAGGAGACAGCAACACACTTATTAAATGTGAAACAACAGAAGGGAAAACCTCTCCGTGGTTACATAAGTCATTTTAACGCTGATATGCTGCAGGTAGAAGAGGTGGACGACAAGGTTGCCCTCACAGCCTTTGTGGGAGGACTACAGACTTCTAAGTTCCTATTTTCCTTATCAAAAGAAGCCCCTACAAGCATGACAGAGTTGATGGTTAGAGCATGGAAGCACATGAACGCTAAGGATGCTATGAATGCACAAAAAAACAAAGATGGTGAAGATAAGAGGTCGGAGAAGAAGAGGCCAGCACCTAACACTAGGGAGGAAAAGGAATCAAAGTACAAGAAATTCTCAAACAACCAGGCTGATAGATCGTATCGCCGCCCAGTGAGCCCAGGCAGGTATAATAACTATACCCCCTAAATACATCTGTAGATCAAGTCTTTCTGCAGATTCAAGATGACGCATCATTGAAATGGCCGCCAAAGCTAAAAGCTGATCCAACAAAGAGGTCTCTAGGTAAATACTGTAGGTTTCACCGGGACCATGGACATAACACAGAAGATTGTTTCGACCTCAAAAACCAGATCGAGAACCTTGTTCGTAAAGGTCATTTACGCAAATTCACAACTGGAAATGGAAAAGGAGGCTCCAACCCAGCCCGGGAGGGCTGAGATGATCTCCCTCCTCAACACCAACCAATGGGTGAGATCAAAGTTATATCAGGTGGCTTCGCTGGTGGTGGTGAGACGAGTTTGGCTCGGAGGGCTCATGCTAGGAGTATTCGGAGTTTTTCAGAGGTGAATGAAGTTGGAATGACAAGTCCTCCAACAAAATTACCTCGAGTTGAGGAGCCGGTTATAACCTTTTCTGAAGAAGATGACAAGGGAATTCACCAGCCCCATGATGACCCTCTGGGCATACGAGAAATTAAAAATTGGCCGAGAGAAGCTCCGACCCATGAAATCACCACTGGTGGGATTTTCAGGCGATAAAGTACATGGGCAGTTATCCTTCCAGTTACTGCAGGAGCCAATCCAAAGCAGGTCACTGTAATGGTGGACTTTGTAGTGGTGGACTGCCCATCATCATACAATATTATCTTGGGGAGGACAACATTGAATGCCATGAAAGCAATCACGTCCACTTACCATCTCCTGATGCGCTTCCCAACTGAATATGGTATGGGAGAGCTAAGAGGGGACCAAACAATGGCTCGTGAATGTTATGTCGCCTCTCTCAGAAAAACAAAATCGTAAGAGGCATTTATGATTGAAGGGCTGGAAGGAAAAGATAGACCAGACTTTCATAGAGCGGAACCTACAGATGAGCTAGAAGAGGTCATCCTTGGTGACGGTGAGCCCGAGAAAAAAGTGAGTATAGGGTCTTTACTCCCCCCAGGTATCAAAGATAAACTTACTCAATTCCTCAGGAAGAATCGAGACGTATTTACATGGGTCCATGAAGACATGCCGGGTATAGACCCCACTATCATGGAGCACCGCTTAAATGTAAATCCTGACTTTAAACCTGTTAGACAAAAGAGGAGGACTTTCGTTCCAGAAAGGAATCAGGCTATATCAGAAGAGGTGGAAAAGCTCTTAAAAGTCGACTTTATTCAAGAGATGTACTACCCCGACTGGCTGGAAAATGTGGTCTTACTGAAGAAGGCAAATGGAAAGTGGAGGCTATGTGTGGATTTCACCGACCTTAACAAAGCTTGCCCGAATGACAGCTTTCCTCTCCCAAGAATCGATATGCTCGTTGAGGGAACGGCTGGACATGAACTATTAAGTTTCATGGATGCATATTTTGGATACAACCAGATATCTATGTACACCTCAGATAGAGAAAAAATGGCCTTCATCACTGATAGAGGTTTGTACTGTTACAAAGTAATGCCGTTTGGCTCAAGAACGCTGGTGCAACATACCAAAGGCTAGTGAATGCAATGTTTAAGCATCAAATTGGTAGAAACATGGAGGTATATGTTGATGACATGTTGGTGAAAAGCTTAAAAGCTGAAGACCATTTGACTGACCTGCAGGAGACCTTCGAGGTACTTAGGAGGCATAAGATGAAACTCAACCCCAGCAAGTGTGCCTTTGGGGTTTCCTCAGGAAAGTTCTTGGGATATATGGTAAGCAGAAGAGGAATTGAGGCCAATCCAGAGAAGATCCGAGCAGTCATTGACATGAGATCGACAAGATCAACCAAGGATCTACAATGACTAACAGGGAAGATTGCTGCCTTGAGTAGGCTAATCTCTCGGTCAACTGACAGGTGTCTACCTTTCTTTCGTGTGCTAAGGAATGCGTTTGAATGGACCCCAGAGTGTGAGTAGGCGTTCAAAGAACTAAAGCAATACCTTAGTTCTCCCCCACTACTGTCTCGAACCATACCGGGAGAGGAACTGTACATATACCTTGCAGTCTCCACGACAGCTGTCTGTTCAGCTCTGATACGAGAAGAAGAAGGGGTCCAAAGGCCAGTATACTTCGTGAGTAGAGCACTTAGGGGTGCGGAGGAAAGATATCCAAGGATGGAACAGTTGGCCTTTGCTTTAATTGTGTCCGCCAGGAAACTGAGACCGTACTTTCAAGCGCATATGATAGTGGTCCTAACAAATCAACCCCTTCGATAGGTCCTACACAAGCCAGAAAGCTCTGGTCGACTGATGAAGTGGTCAGTAGAGTTAGAAGAGTTCGACATTCAGTATAAGCCAAGAATAGCAGTAAAGGCTCAGGTGTTGGCTGATTTCTTAACTGAGTTTACCCCTCCAGAAGAGGAGAAACAACCCCAATTTTCGACAAAACCAGGTTTAAGTGAGCAGATGGGCCCAGAAGTAGTCTGGGACTTGTTCGTGGATGGGTCATCTAATGTTTAGGTTAGCGGAGCCGGGCTTGTTCTTGTCTCCCCAGAGGGAGAAAGTATATAGTACGCACTTCGGTTTGGTTTCAACGCAACCAGCAACAAAGCAGAGTACGCAGCCTTGATAGCAGGATTAAGAGTGGCAAATGCCCTAGGGGTTGAGCAATTACACCGACTCCGAGCTGGTCGCTGGACAAGTTCAAGCGGAATATGAGGCACGAGACGAGAAGATGAAGAGTTACCTACAAAAGGTGAAGGAATTAAAGAATCACTTCCAAAGATTCTCAATTCATCAAATACCACGAGAAGAGTATGGGAAAGCAGACGCTTTAGCCCGGCTAGCTACTGCATTGAACCTGAGATCAATAAGAATATACCACTGGAATATTTGGATGAACCATCTATATCTCAGGAGAGACAAATTGAAGTGCAACAAGCGATATTGAGTGTGGAATGGGCAGATCCTATCATCAGATATATCAAGGATGGGGTGCTACCAACAGACCGAGCAGAAGCTCGAAAGGTCAAGATGCGGGCAGCTAGGTATACGCTTATCAAAGGGGTGCTCAACAAGAGAAGCTTCTCCATGCCGTATTTACGATGCGTTTCGAGCGAGGAAGCTGACTACATTTTAAGGGAGATCCACCTAGGAGTTTGTGGAAACCATGCTGGGGGTAGGTCACTTGCTAACAAGGCCATCCGACTAGGATACTATTGGCCCACCATGCAGAAAGATGCACTTGACTTCGTTCAAAAGTGCGACAAGTGTCAACGATTTGCCAACATCCCGAGACAACCGTCAGAGGAGATGACTCCCATGTCAAAACCATACCTCATTCCCCCTTAAAAGAATGAAGGGTCAGCTTCATCTTCTTCCCTCGATAAAAAGATGAGGGGTTAACTACTTCCCTTGTTAAAGGGTGAGCTGAGTGAAGCTCATATTAATCTACTTCCCCTGTTAAAGGGTGACCTGGGTGAAGCTCGTATTAATCTACTTCCCTTGTTAAAGGGTGAGATAAGTGAAGCTCATAGTAATCTACTTCCCTCGTAAAAAGATGAGGGGTTAACTACTTCCCTTGTTAAAGGGTGAGCTGAGTGAAGCTCATAGTAATCTACTTCCCTCGTAAAAAGATGAGAGGTTAACTACTTTCCTTGTTAAAGGGTGAGCTGAGTAAAGCTCATAGTAATCTACTTCCCCTGTTAAAGGGTGACCTGGGTGAAGCTCGTATTAATCTACTTCCCCTGTTAAAGGGTGACCTGGGTGAAGCTCGTATTAATCTACTTCCCTTGTTAAAGGGTGAGATGAGTGAAGCTCATAGTAATCTACTTCCCTCGTTAAAAGGTGAGCTGGGTGAAGCTCATAGTAATCTACTTCCCCTGTTAAAGGGTGAGCTGAGTGAAGCTCGTATTCATCTACTTACCTTATTACGAGTTACGTGAAACTCGTCTTAATCTACTTTCCTTATTAAAGGGACGAGCCGACTAAAGATGTCAATAAAATCAAGTATAAAATAACGGTAGCATGCCAACAGGGCAGCTTGCTAAATAATGGGAGCATGCTAGCAGGGCAGCTTGCCAAATAAAGGCAGCATGCCAACAGAGCAGCTTGCCAAATAACGGCAGCATGCCAGTAGGACAGCTTACCAAATAAAGGCAGTATGCCAGCAGGGTAGCTTGCCAAATAAAGGCAGCATGCCAGCAGAGCAGCTTGCCAAATAACGGCAGCATGCCAGTAGGACAGCTTGCCAAATAAAGGCAGCATACCAGCAGGGCAGCTTGCCAAATAAAAGCAGCATGCCTCCCAGGGCAACTTGACAAATAACGGCAGCATGCCAGCAGGACAGCTTGCCACGGCAGCATGTCATGGCAGCTTGCCACATAACGATAGACTACCAGCATGGCAGCTTGCCACATATACGAGCTACCAATGTGGCATTACGACAAATATACAAGCTTGCCAATATACGACAAATGTACGAGCTTGCCACATATACGAGCTGCCAATGTGATACTATGACCCCCGACTGTATTCGCGAAATGACAATATAAGTCAGGTTAATGGACAAGGCTCTGCAATTCTAACTATATATTATTGTGTGATATTTTGGAATTAACGTTCCGGTGGTTCGACAAGCAATCCTCTGAAACGGGGGGCAACTGATGGATGTATAATTTAAATATCCATAATTAAGGGAAGATTACTAAATTAACGCACTATTGAGATAGGCTCTGCAGATTACGATAAGGATTACAGATTGAGATAGGCTTTACAGATTACGATAAGGATTAAAGATTGTGATAAGGATTAAAGATTACGATGAGGATTAAGTCTACAGATTACAATAAGGTAATTCTACGTGACATCTTAACCTAAGCCCTATAAAAAGGCGGGGGAATCAATGTTTGGAGGTACGCAATAAACCCTAACTCAATTTCTCGATTTCTCCAGGAAGATTATCATTCACACTGACTTGTTCGTCAGAGCCTACTCCACCGGTAACACACCGGTGTTCGTAGGATCACTTTCTTCTCTTTATTCAGGAAGTCAGATCAGATCCAAGTTGCGCAGAATCCATCACCAACAAATACTAATCGCTTAGTGGAGAACAATGACTAAACATTGTGAAGATATTAGCAACAAAAATGCGAGATGAAAGATCCATCCCAAAATAACACTGGTACCTTCCAAGCTCCTTTTTTGATCCATCCCAAAATAACACTTTCTTCTCCTTTGCCAGCCATGGTGATGCTCTCGGGCTTGTTGATGCTTTCTGGTTTGTTGATTTGCCCGCCTAGGTAAAAA